TCCCCGTCTGCTGCAGGGTGTAAGCAGCCCACAGAGGAGGCTGGAGGAGACCCCCCTCCACCACAAAGCCTGCCCGGGGGGTTTCCTGCAGCGCTGCCTTAGAGGTGTGACCGGTGCAGGGGTCACATCACCAGTGTCAGCTCTGAGGACCCTTTATCCATGGGGTAGACGGCAGAAAACTGCCCCGTAGGGAGGCGGCAGGGCCCCGGGACACGAGGTTTCCATGTGCTCGGATGCGTGTGTCGTCGGGAATGGTTCTTGTTCTGGGTTTTCTCTTTCTCCCACCACCATCTTTCTCAGTGGTGTCCTCCAGGTTTTCCCGGTCTCTCTCCTATTCACACGTGGTGTCTTATTTTGCCCTGGGCTGTAGCTAAAACTCAGGATGGTGTGGCCTTAGAGATCCAGCCCCTGAAGAGCCAGGAAGGGGTGGAAAACGAGGAGAAGGAGAAGAAGAAGGTGAAGGTGCCCAAGAAGGAGAAGTCGGTGCTGCAAGGGAAGCTCACGCGCCTGGCGGTCCAGATCGGGAAGGCGGGTGAGTGGCGGTGGCCTGGCACGAAGCGTCCCCCTGGTGCTGTCACTGGAACTGGGATGGGGAGAAGGGGCCATCCCCTTCCCCTGCGCCCCCTCACCCGCTGCTCTCCCTCTCCCCCCAGGGCTGATCATGTCGGCCATCACGGTTATCATCTTGGTGCTGTACTTCGTCATCGACACGTTCGGGGTGCAGGGGCGGCCCTGGCTGGCGGAGTGCACCCCCATTTACATCCAGTACTTCGTCAAGTTCTTCATCATCGGCGTCACCGTGCTGGTGGTGGCCGTGCCTGAAGGGCTCCCGCTGGCCGTCACCATCTCCCTGGCCTACTCTGTGAAGGTGAGACCACGATTCAGGGGGGGTCACAAGGGGATTATGGTGAAATTCGGGCTTTTGGCTCTGACCCTCCTGGCTTTTGTGGTGCCTGTTGCAGAAAATGATGAAGGACAACAACCTCGTGAGACACTTGGATGCGTGCGAGACCATGGGCAACGCCACCGCCATCTGCTCGGACAAGACGGGCACCCTCACCATGAACCGCATGACCGTGGTGCAGGCCTACGTGGGGGACACCCACTACCGCCAGATCCCCGACCCCGAAGCCATCCTGCCCAAGATCCTGGACCTCATAGTCAACGGTGTTGCCATCAACTCGGCCTACACGTCCAAGATCCTGGTGAGCTGGAGAACCACAGCTTCGTGTGTCCCCTGATGTCCCCACCATGGGCCATCCCTGCAGCTCCCACCCTGCCATACCCGGGTCTGGCATTGCTTTTCCTTTCCTCTTTCCTCTGCAGCCACCCGAGAAGGAAGGGGGGCTACCCCGGCAAGTGGGGAACAAGACCGAGTGCGCCCTGCTGGGTTTCGTGCTGGACCTGAAGCAGGATTACCAGGCTGTGCGCAACGAGGTGCCGGAGGAGAAGCTCTACAAGGTCTACACCTTCAACTCGGTGCGCAAGTCCATGAGCACGGTGCTGAAGAACGGCAACGGCGGCTTCCGCATGTACAGCAAGGGAGCCTCCGAGATCATCCTCCGCAAGTAACCGGCCTCCCTCGCTGCCCTCCTCTCCCCATCCCGTGGGCTTTGGGCTCTCCATACTCCCTGGAGCTGGTTTTGGGGGGTGAAGGGTGCTCGGGGTGGCTTTGGTGAAGCTGTCGGGAGCTGTGGGTGAGGGGGATGCCCCTGCTTTGCAGATGGGGATGTGGGTGACGGGGAGCAGATCGCTGAGCTGGCAGCTTGTGCCACCACCCTCACCCTCCATCCCCGTCCTGCCTTAGGTGCACCAAGATCCTGGACAAGAACGGCGACCCCCGGGTGTTCAAGGTGAAGGACCGGGATGAGATGGTGAAGAAGGTGATCGAGCCCATGGCGTGCCATGGCCTGCGGACCATCTGCCTGGCCTTCCGCGACTTCCCCGGCGACGCCGAGCCGGACTGGGACAGCGAGAACGAGATCCTGTCTGACCTGACCTGCATCGCTGTGGTGGGGATAGAGGACCCCGTGCGGCCAGAGGTACCCAACCCAGCGCTGTTCTCCTCCCCAGCCCCGCTCCTGGGCCAGGAGCCCCTTAGGAAAGCACAGGCAGCTCCTCTGCGCCCATCACTGCAGTGCCCCACACTCCCAGCTCCCTGCTGCTGGGATTTCTCTCCCACCCCTGGACCAAATGAGCTGGGAGCAGGCTGTTTCCACCCCAAATTGCCCCCTAATTGCTACCAGGGTCTGTGCACAAGCCAGGCTGGTTGAAATGTGCATGGAGACACCACGTAGGGGTGATGGAGAGGGACAGGGCTGATCTGGCTGGTTCCCCTCTCACAGCTTGCGGGGGTGAGGGGCAGGCAGCTGGGCTAATGCAATAAGCCCTCCCATACCTGCCTCTTGATTACATTTCGGAGCTTGCCCCTGCGCTCCTGCCTTGCCTGCATCGTTCCTGATTCGATGTTGAAGTATCTGGGTCTGGGAATTGCATTACAGATGCCCCGTCTGCACCGGCTCTGGAGGCCCTTGATTCAATTTGCTAATTTCTCACTAACATCCTCTTCCCCGCACTGCTCCGTAATAGATAAACCCATTAGTGCAGCGATGCGCTGCCGGAGCAGCGGGGAGAACGAAATGCCCCCCCGGTAACCTGAGGTAGTTCTGGGGGTGAAGGGGGGAGATTTTGGTTCATCTCATCCCCAGTGTGAGCACTGGGACTCCCCATGTTGAGCCTGAGCACCCTGCCCTGTCAGTGTCCCTGTCCCAGGGGTCCCTGTCCCCTGACTCCGTCCATGTCCCCCAGGTGCCAGACGCCATCCTGAAGTGCCAGCGTGCGGGCATCACCGTCCGGATGGTGACAGGGGACAACATCAACACCGCCCGTGCCATTGCCACCAAATGTGGCATCCTGCTGCCCGGGGAGGACTTCTTGTGCCTGGAGGGGAAGGAGTTCAACCGGCTCATCCGCAACGAGAAGGGAGAGGTGGGAGAGCAGCACAGGGCCCTGCTCTGCAGTAGGGGTGGGTGGCCTCTGGGCAGCCCCAGCTTGCTGGGTTTTCCTTCTCCCCTTGGATAAATGCAGCCTCCGCTTGCTGGGATCCTTGGAGGCGAAGGCGCTGTCCTGGTTGGGGTTTTTTGGTGGAGGTTTTTGTGGGGGTCCCTTTGCTTTCTCACATTTGCCTTGTCCCGCAGGTGGAGCAGGAGCAGCTGGACAAGATCTGGCCCAAGCTGCGTGTGCTGGCGCGCTCCTCCCCGACGGATAAGCACACCCTTGTGAAAGGTGAGCGCCCGTCGGCTCCTCCAGCTGCTGCCTTTCAAAGCGTCTCATTCTGCAGCACATCCCCTGAGGGAGCCTGCCCAGTGGGGCTGCATTCCCTGAGCTGCTTGTCCCCTCTCCAGGCATCATCGACAGCACCGTTGGTGACCAGAGGCAGGTGGTGGCCGTGACCGGGGACGGGACCAACGATGGCCCGGCTCTGAAGAAAGCGGACGTTGGCTTTGCCATGGTACGGGTGGAGGGTTTCCCCAGGGGAGGTCTTTGCACTCCGGTTTGAGAAACTACTGGGACACTTGGTTATTCTCAACACCTAAATTGTTCCAGGATTGGTGAAACTCTCCTCCAAATCTACAGGATGGCTTAAAAAGAAGAAAACAAACCTTCTTTGGAGGTTTGATTGAATTCTCCTGAATTTTATCGGACTGTTAGCAAAAGACTCATGGGAAGCAACCCTCTGGTTTGCCCATCGAGCAAATGAGAAAATGTTTTGGGGAGTAGGTGTTTTTAGGAAGGTGTTAAACACTCAAGGGCAGTTCTGGAGCCTTTGGGATGAACAGCAGCAGGTTCTTCACTTGGGGACCGTGCAGTGCTCCCGTGTGCAGGATCAGCCCATGGCCAGGCACGGGGCTTTGCTGGGGGCTGGACACCGGTGCTGAGCTGCCCTTGGGTCTCTGGAGCATGGAGATGGGATGGGACAGGGGATGGCTCTGTCCAGCTGCCTCTGAAACTCACAGGGGGCTCCTGTCTGAGAGGGGTTGTGCAAATCTTGAGAGGAAGGCATCAGGGAAGCAGCTCTCGTTGTGTTTAATCGCTGCAAAGCGAGCGTCTCTGTGTGCCCGCGCTGAGAAACGCAGCGAGCCCGGCTCCGACTGCATCCTTCTGAGATGCTGCAGGGGACTTCGGGGACCTCGCTCCGTGACTCACCCCACGGCTTTGTCCTCGGTCCTCAAGGGCATCGCGGGCACGGACGTGGCGAAGGAGGCTTCGGACATCATCCTGACGGACGACAACTTCACCAGCATCGTCAAGGCGGTGATGTGGGGCCGCAACGTCTACGACAGCATCTCCAAGTTCCTGCAGTTCCAGCTGACCGTGAACGTGGTGGCCGTCATCGTGGCCTTCACGGGCGCCTGCATCACGCAGGTACGGGGCCACTGGGCTCGGCGGGAGGAGAGCGGAGCCAAAAGAGGAGCGAAAAGGGGGTGATTTCGGTGGCGTGACGCGTTCTGCCCCCTCTCCCCGCAGGACTCTCCCCTGAAGGCCGTCCAGATGCTGTGGGTCAACCTGATCATGGACACCTTCGCCTCCTTAGCCCTGGCCACTGAGCCCCCGTCCGAGTCCCTGCTGCTAAGCAAGCCGTAACGCCGCACGCTCATCTCCCGCACCATGATGAAGAACATCCTGGGCCACGCCGTGTACCAGCTCACCATCATTTTCACGCTGCTTTTTGCCGGTGAGCTTTGAGGCCTTAAGAGATGGTGGGGGGAAAAGGAATAAGGGGCAAAGTCCCAGCTCTGCCTCGCAAGCTGAGGACAGAGCTTATTTAATAACAGAAGGGGTGATAAGGAGAGGATTTATTTTGTTCCAGAGACAGTTTCAGCGAGGGAAGCGGCTTTTTTAAGGAAATAAGGGTTCAGTGGGGCTAGGAGGGGGGACTCCAGCTGGGTCAAGAGCCTGGTATCCTAATTCCACCTCCAGCAGCATAGAGCAGGAGTAAGGAGCAGGATCTCATCACCTTCTCCTCCCTTTCCATCCTCTCCCAACCCCTTTGTCTGCTCAGGGGAGAAGTTCTTTGACATCGACAGCGGCCGGAACGCCCCCCTGCACTCGCCCCCCACCGAGCACTACACCATCGTCTTCAACACCTTTGTCATGATGCAGCTGTTCAACGAGATCAACGCCCGCAAGATCCACGGGGAGAGGAACGTCTTCGAGTCCATCTACCGCAACCCCATCTTCTGCACCGTGGTGCTGGGGACGTTTGCAGCTCAGGTGAAGCTTTGGGACCAGCGTGGGAATGGTGGGGATGGGAGGGGACCGTGACACAGCCAGGACCTGTATCTGCAGCATCCACTGCCCACAGCTCTGTCCTGGCTCCTTGTTCTTCTCCAGCAGCTTCTTGGTGACGCAGAACCCAAATATCAGGGTCTGGGGTGTGTTGGGAGGTGGCAGGGCTGGCTCTGGTGTCCTGTAACTTTACTGGCTGAGATGTGAGGTGCTTGCTCCTCCTGTGATCCCAGGGAAAGATGTGTGGCTGCAGGTGACCCTTTCATCCCATGGCTGAGCTGTGCAGCCCCTGTAGCTCCCCGGTGTGTGACTTGTCCTCTCCTGTGCTGCAGATCATCATCGTGGAGTTCGGTGGGAAGCCGTTCAGCTGCTCTGGGCTCACCCTGAGCCAGTGGTTCTGGTGTATTTTTATCGGAGTGGGAGAGCTCCTCTGGGGCCAGGTAAGAGCTGCTCTGCAAAACCACACCACGGCGTGCTCACAGCCCGCCCTGCCTTCCCCTTCCCGCTGCCGCCCTCCTCCTCCTCAGCTTTTATTCAAGGCAGCTTTGGAAGGAGGTGATGCTCCATCTCAGTACCGCACCACCAGCGGGGAGAGCAGCTTCCTCATCTACTCATCCCCACCCTGCTTGCCGTGGGGCGCATTCTCTGGTGGCATCTCGGCTGCACCTCTCAGCTGAGGTCCTGGCAGCTCGCTACAGGCTGGCGGTGGGCTCCTCACTGTTGTAACCCGTGGGCTAAGGAGCTGTGCTCCCTCCCTGCCTCTCCCCAGCTGATCTGCACGGTCCCAACCAGCCACCTCAAGTTCCTGAAGGAGGCCGGGCACGGCATCACCAAGGAGGAGATCCCAGAGGAGGAGCTGCCTGAAGACGTGGATGAGATCGACCACGCCGAAATGGAGCTGCGGCGCGGGCAGATCCTGTGGTTCCGGGGTCTCAACAGGATACAGACGCAGGTACAGGAGGGCAGTGGGGTTTGGGGGGGGTCTCCCTTCTCTCTTTCTCTCTCTCTTTCTCTCCAGGGGCTCTGGGAAGAGGCGGCCGCTGCTGCTCAGGGGATGCCATCGCCTCCTGGGCCAGGCTTCTCCCACCGCCTGTGCCTTTCTGGGTCTGCCCTGGTTGGGGAACCAGGACACCCTGGGTTTTGGGGACAGCTCGGGGCAGGGGGAGGCACCGGTCTGTGCTGGCGCAGAGCACAGTGTCCTGCAGCCAGAGGCTGGATGTGCTGCTGATGGGCACCTTGCACAGCAGAGGAGGGGGCTCAGGAGCTGTGGGGGGCTATGGAGCCACCCGGGCTCTTACTGAGTTGTGCAGGAGCAGATCAGTGTTGAAGCTGCTCTCGGTTGCTGCTGGGATGTTGTTCCCAGTAAGGGAATGTGCCCAGAAGGGGTCTGCCTGTGCAAGACCCTCTTTGGTCTCGCTCCTCTGCTGTTTTCTGTCCTTCTTGATGGCTTTTTGGCCACAAGCTCTTGCCACTTCTCCCTGCCAGCTCTCTGGCCACCGTGCCTGGAGCTCTTCTGATAGATTCTATGAGAATCTATCTGATTTTTGAACAGAATCTATCTGTTAATACGGTTTTCCATCAGCTGTTTCTCCCTGACTCAGTTTTTCCTGAAGGGTAGGTTTTTTCCTCCCAGACTGCAGGGGTTGCTCCCTGCAGTGAGGTCGCTGCCCCTCATCTTTCCTCCAGGCCTGGGCAGAGCTGCCCCAAGGAGAAAAGCTGCAGGTCGCCAGGGCTGCTGTGTCACCTTCTGTTCCTCTTCTGGCCTTCCAAAAAATGGAGATAACCGAAATGGCCCAGGCACAGGGATTGGAGCGAGCACAGCAGCTGTGTTGTGCTGCGTTAACTTTGCTTCTCCTCTGTGAGATGTTGCCTTGAGGGTTTCAAGGTGAGCTTCAGCCTTGATTCCCAGCCCATGGACAGCGGTGAGGGGCGGCCGGGCTCTTCTGGGAGCCCAGGGCAGCGCTGGTCACTGGTGCTGTGCTCATTCACGTGAGAGATGAGCTGGGAGCACTGGGCTGGCTCGGTCCAGATGTCTCAGAGCCTGGTAGGTCCGAACGGCTGCAGCATCAATGGCCAGGCGTGCTGCTGGGGCTGTGCACAGAGCCTCCCAGATCTCTCCCTGCAGCCGTGGTTCAGACCTGGGCTGAAACCAGCTCTTGCTCTTGCAAATGAAAAATGCTCCTGGATGCTGGCACATCCTGGAGCCTCTCTGGGGTCCCGTGTCCTCGCTGCAGTGCCCTGCACATGAAGCAGAGGAGCCAGCGGGTCCAAACCAGGCATCTTAGGGACTTCTGTACCAAGTCTCAAGTGAGAGCACAGGGCTCCTCCCTGTGGCCCAGCCTGGTGCGCTGGTGAACAGAGGATCCCTCCATGGAGGGACATCAAACCTCGGCGTGTGAAATCCCTGCAGGGCGAACTGGAGCCACACTGGGTGCTGCGGAGCTGTCGGCAGTGGCTGGCGCAGGGCTGGGCGCAGTCCTGGGAAGCCACGGTGGCACCCGGCTGCTGCGTGGTTCCTGTGGCCTCGGTGAGCATCCACGGAGGAGCTGTGAACCCAACCAAGGCTCCTTCCTTGCTGCATCCCTGCCCGCCCCTAACAGCTCTGCTTCTGAGCCCTGGGGAGAGGCTGAAACGTCCTCCAGCACAGCTGGGTGCTGTGGGTGTTGGGGTGTCCCAGGACTCAGCCCCCCAGCTGGACGTCCCCTGGGGCTGAGGGACCAGACCCCCTTTCCCAGCGCAGTTTTCTGGACCACGGGCTGCCCGCTCTCAGCTCTGCCCACCCTCGCTCTGTCTCTGCTCCTCCTGCAGATTGCCAGGGTAACCCAAGGTGTTTCCTCTGTCGCTCCCCCTCACTTCAGTCTCCTCCTCGGTGGTGGGATAAACCCTGTCCCTCTCACAAGAGCAGGGCAGAGGCTGGAAGCCGACCTCTGCTCCCAGAAAACGCCACCAAACCCGGGTTTACGGGAGCACGGGGTGGGGGGCTCTCTCCTCCTTCCTCTCCTCCCCACCTCTCCATCCTCCTTCTTCCTTCCTGTCCGCGTGTGTCTGCCCGCCCTCCCTGCTCCCCTCCATCCCCGACCCCTCTCCCTGTCTCTGGCCGGGGCGACGCTATCTCACTCTCTGGTTCTTTGCAGATGGACGTAGTTTACACATTCCAGACCGGCGCCTCCTCTTTGCAGGGAGCCCTCAGGAGACAGCCTTCCATCGTGAGCCAGCACCACGATGTAAAAAATGTTTCTAGCCCAACCCATGTAGCTCTTTCCTCCGTCAATTCCACTCCCACCACTTCTGCTGTTGCTGCTGCTGCTGCAT